CTTAACCCGAATCTTCTGCACGAGTTCAATTGCCCATTTAGTCGAGTATATTTGCAAATTAATTATAAATGTGCTGTGATACTCAGCTGTTCCACTTATTGGCGGCTACAGAGTTGCTTCGCACACCCTTGAGATAGAGTCAATAAAAAGCAATACACAAAATATCTGCACAATGGCAACAATGAGAGCAACAATTGACAGGCGCTGGGCAAACAAATCGTGCAGCGGCCAAAATGAGCTGCTAATTGAAGACACCTTAGAAATCATCAAAAATAAACAGAGCATAGCCATGCATAGCAGAGCAGAGTAGGGCAGCGCCCGCCACTGGCAATTAGCAGAGTTGAAGGTGGGCCTCCACAATGTGCAGCTGGCTGCGTGTTGTTATTATGTCATAATTAATTTACGAGCTGTGACAATTAACGAGATGAGCGGCTGATGCATTGTGACAAGGCCGGTCGAGCAGCCGAAAACAGGCAACAGATGTGGGTCAATGTGTTGGCCAATTCTGAGCGTACAATCGAGCTTTTCCACACGTTCACAACTTTTCCGGGCGCACGCGGCGTATGCGCAATTTTCTATCAGCTCAGCTTGAGCTCAGCTCTTTGGCCCACTCGGCGCTCTGACCAATTTGCACAACTCGCACGCCATTTCGTCATAAGTGCACACACAAAAAGACGACTATCTACAAGATACAAAAGTATCTCGTGGACTGTCTGCGGCTGTCGATGTTGATGTTGATGTTGATGTTGCTGAAACTGACGCCGCTGGCTTTTGCTGCGAATACCACGAACGCAGCCACAAGACAAAGCACAAAACCAACAACAAAAATCAGTTGCCGACAGTTTTTTATAAATATATATATTGAGCACAGTGGGTCAATGTCCCACTGATAAAGTGAACGCCAGTTGCTGCTGCGGCTGCTGCTGCTGCTGCTGCTGCTGCTCCAGTTGCTGCTGGTGGCAGCTGCGACGTCGCTTGCCAAAAGGCAAATGCGATTTTAATTAATAAAATATGCTGTGTATCTCTGGTTGCACAAAAGAAATTTCAAGTTTTAAATATTTTTTGCAATTTGTTTCGTTCGCTGTGCTGAATACTGAGCTAATGAACATTTTCGTATTAAGATATTTCACTTGCAGCAACAATCATTTTATTTTGCTGGCTGCCAAATTATATTTGTAGTACATTTTCTAGTTGAGATGGCACAAGAATTTCGTAGCCCATTTGCTACAGTGGATGTGTGTGTGTGCGTGCGTGTGTCTCTGCCTAAGATTTATGCGTGTGCCAGATTTTATTGTGTGACATTTCTGGCTAAGATTTAAATTTAAATTGCTTTTAGAAACTAATAAATGGGCTGATATGTTTTCTGACGCAAAACAACCAGCTCGGTTGCCATGCTCGCCAAATAACAAATTACACTAATATTTGTTTATCAGCTAATTATGCTTGTGGGTGGAAAAGTTTTATAAATAAACGAATTATTTTTAATGTGAACGCTCAAGGGTATGCTACAATTTTATAATATGGCATATTCCCTGTTGAAATTTAATGTTGCATACTTTTGCGCGTATGCGAATTACATTTATGCTGCATACTTTGCGGCTGCTTTGATTAATATTCCATTTGAATTGCAAACGTAACCGACAACTTCTCTCTCTCCTCTCTCTCTCTTTTGCAGCTGTGCGTTATGGTCGCGTACCGAAGCGTTCACGTGAGCTGAACGGTGCAGCAGCAGCAGCAGTCGCCGCAACTGCCTCAGCAGCCAGCGGCGCGCCCCTAAATGTGGATGAAACCAGTGCCAATAATTTGCATACAAATCTAATACAACAGCAGCAGCAGCATCAACAACAACAACAACAGCAGCAACAGCAGCAACAGCAGCAGCCGCATGCGAGCAGCGTGCGCGTAAACACACCAAGTACACCACAAACGCCACAAATGTGTTCGATAGCCTCGTCGCCATCGGAGCTGGGCGGTTGCAATAGTAGTGCCAACAACAACAACAATAACAACAACAGCAGCAGCAGCAACAACAACAGCAGCAGTAATGCAACAGCTGTAGTTGTGGGCAGCCATCATCAGCAATTGGTTAACATGGGCAGCAGCAGCGATATGGCCATGACCCAGGTGGGCGTGGGCATGTGCCATCCCTCGATCGATCATCACGACGGCCTCGCCGGCACAGCCAACGAGCTGACTGTCTACGATGTGATCATGTGCGTCTCGCAGGCGCATCGACTCAACTGCTCCTACACCGAGGAGCTGACACGTGAACTGATGCGGCGACCCGTCACAGTGCCCCAGAACGGCGTAAGCATGCGAGCTCTGCTAATCCGTGACAACAAATACGATTAATTATTACCTTGCAGATTGTCACCACCGTGGCCGAGAGTCTGGAGTTCCAAAAGATTTGGCTGTGGCAACAGTTCTCGGCGCGCGTGACGCCCGGCGTGCAGCGCATTGTGGAGTTCGCTAAACGCGTACCTGGCTTCTGTGATTTCACCCAGGACGACCAACTGATACTCATCAAGCTGGGCTTCTTCGAGGTGTGGCTAACCCATGTCGCGCGCTTGATCAACGATACGACGCTGACGCTGGACGACGGCGCCTATCTGACACGACAGCAGCTGGAGATACTCTACGATGTAAGTGTGCTCTCTCCCTGTCTCTCTCTCTCTCTCCCTATATTCATCTTTCTCACCTCTGCAGTCGGACTTTGTGAACGCCCTGCTGAACTTTGCCAACACACTGAACGCCTATGGGCTGAGCGACACAGAGATTGGTCTCTTCTCGGCCATGGTGCTGCTGGCATCGGACCGGGCGGGCCTCAGCGAGCCCAAGGTAATCGCAAGGGCGCGCGAGCTGGTGGCCGAGGCGCTGCGTGTGCAGATACTCAGATCGAGGGCCGGGTCGACGCAGGCGCTGCAGCTGATGCCGGCGCTGGAGGCTAAAATACCGGAGCTGCGCTCGCTGGGCGCCAAGCACTTCTCACACTTAGACTGGCTGCGAATGAACTGGACCAAGCTGCGTCTGCCGCCGCTCTTTGCCGAAATTTTCGACATACCCAAGGCGGACGACGAGCTGTAGAAGTTGGAGCAACGGCTCTGTGAACTGTACGTTTAGGTTATAGAATATAGGCGTTAAACGACGATGACAAAGAAGAAGAAGAAGAACAAAATGGAGGATGCAACCAACTCTGCAAGAATTCATAATATGAAAGAACAAACATAGACCATTCTAACAGATACAAGATACAATTTACCAGATACAAGATACATAGTTAACTACAACTACAACTACAACTACGACTACAACTATAAAGTTATGCATTAGATATTGAGCAATGCTTAAGACGTTCGCAAACATTTTTAGCCAGACATCCACACAGATACATATACACACACACACTCTCACACCCACACACAGCTGCGATGATAGACCTTGAGATACTTTTGGTTTCTTTTGTTACTTCTGCTTGAGCTCTTAGCCGTACATATCCCATGCGCAACATCAAGTTTTATTTATTTCATTGATCAAGCTCATTAAATCATGCACGATTATCCTAGGTAATCCTGAAACTCCACTCCCCCAACTCACTATCTTTTGAAAATGCAAAAACAAAACTGAAAAAAAACAAATTTAAGAAAATCTCGACTGAAGTTCGAAAAGTACTGTTTAAATCTTTTTATTTAATTAATTAATAATTAAATAAAAATTATTGTATGATTAAACAACTACTTATAAATATATACATATATATCAAATATATACAATCTATATATACTATGTAAACCTAGTGGTATCTAGTGTAGTTCAAGCAAAAAGACCCAAAACATTTTCTTTGCTCGTTTTTATTTTTATTGTAAATAAATTTTAAATTAATTTTTAACACTTTCATTATTATTTCTTTAAGTTAAGCTGCATGAAGCTCTAGCTTGGATTGTGTGAGAAGCGATGGCAATAATCGATTATCGATCACCGATTATCGACTATCGATCATTGGAAACGTGTTCATATTGATTTTAACAAAACAGATTTATACTATATCGCCTAATCTTAAGTGCTTCATTTGTATAACTTGGAACAATCAAAATGATTTGATGAATTTTTTGAATAGATTGGTGCTAAATTTTCCCTCTCTGTGTATTACGTTTCAAAATCGAGTACATATGTATGTTAAAACATGACTTGAAAACTTTAAAGCTCTTCTTTAATTGTTGAATTTATATAGAAACGATTTTGTAAAAATTAAAAAAGGAATAACTTAATATAGCGGGAGCTGCGCAACAGATCTAAGGGCGTGGCAACCAGTTTAATGCTCCATGTGTACCTTTCGCTTATTGAACTAGAATATCTATAAATATATATATGTATGTATGTGTTTGTGTCTGTATGTATCGAAAGTTCTTAACTAAACTAAATTGTTTAAGCTGCAGATCCCAGAAGTTCAGTGAAATAACCCTGTGAATGTAGCATTAATACTTGATTTAATTAAAATACATAATTAAAATGATATAAATATACATACATATACATATATAAATGCATATATGTATAATATATAGATGCAATTTTTTACCTACCGTAGCTTTGATTACATTTTTGAATAATGTGTCAAATTTTAAATGATATTTACGATTAGCAACTACATTCATTACATCAATTACTCCACTAAAATATATAAAGAATAAAAAAAAAAAAAACAAAATATGAAATATAAACTCAACAACAAAATTTCAAAGAGAACAAAATGTCAACTTCCTATTCCTGTCTCTTTCCCTCTTGCTAGCTAGTGTAAGTACCCAAAGGAAAGTTAAATCAGATATTTAAATATATAGATATGATCATATCATATATCCATATTGCTTTGCTAAAAACTATTTGGCGATTAGATTCAAGCTTAACAAGATCTGTAAAGCGAGATATATGCATATATAAATATCTATGTATGTATATGTCAGCGCAATATACTAAACTTCTATATCTGATATATCTGATCTAACAATAGCTATAATAAGCCACAAATTTTCTGTCTTCATGCCATACAAAACAAAATTGCTATCAGCTAAAGCATATGCAAAATCATATACTAAATGTATATTGTTATGCATACTGTTGTTTCCATTTTATATTCATATACATATATATGTATATATATAATGGAAGCCACAGTATGCATAACAATAGGCAACAGTAAGTAGATAAGAGTACGTCATAGCAAAATGATAAATAAATAATAATTAAAAAAGCAAAAACAAGCGCCGCAAATGTAATAAAATTACAGAAAAAAAGTACTTGAAAAGAAAACAAACAAACGTCTTTGAATAAACAGATAGTAATACAATTATATATACAGACTTTCATATGTATATATAGATTAGATGAAACGACTGACTAGCCTTTACTAGTTGAGTTCTGTCTCCTTTGAAATAGTCGCTTATATATTTTATAGAAAATGGATTGACTGACAGCTGGACTTAAGTATATATCTGTAGATCAACAGGTTTATTTCGATTAACAATGGAATTGCCTTAAGGTACTTTTTTTTTAACAGTAATCAAATGCTTTTTGGTTAGGCTTCAGGAGCAGATATCATCATTAGTTAGTTCTCCCATTGAGTGATTAATTCCCTCAGCGTCGGTCTAATCGTCTCTTGGTAGGGGCTGGTATTGTGTCAGCACCTTGGCCATATCTTGGGCCAGCTGCGGTGTGGCTGCGGCCAGTACACGGCGTGACATGATGTCAAAGTCCCCGCCAGCTGGATCGATGACAACGCCGCCAGCCTCGCGCACTATCAGGTCACCGGCGCAGACGTCCCAGGCATGGATGCCGAACTCGTAGTTGGCATCAGCAGCGCCAAGAGCCACCATGGCCATGTTCAAGGCAGCAGAGCCCAACGCACGCAAGCTAAATGGTTAGAGGAATCAATCAGCTCGTTGTGCTAGCATTTAGAAGCTTTCAACTAACCCATGCACTTGTTTGGCCATTTTGGCAAAGTTCTCATTGACCACTTTCATCTTCTCTTCATCGCGCGAGGTGCCGAATTCGCTGGTCACGAGCGCCTTGCTTATATCCCGCTGTCCACTGGCCTGGATGCGGCGTCCATTGTAGTAGGCGCCTTGGCCACGGCGTGCCGTGAAGCGCTGCTCCAGCATGGGGTTGTAGATGATGCCAATTTCCGTGACCTTATTCACCTTGAGGCCCACGGAAATGCAGGAGTGCGGAAAGGCGTGCACAAAGTTCATGGTGCCGTCGACGGGATCGATAATCCAGGTTGGCTCATCGGTCAGCTTGTTGACTGCGCCACCAGAGCTGCTCTCCTCCTCGCCAATGAATCTGCAATGCGAATTTCATATTAGGCATTGCTAATTACAGTCGAAATGAAGACGCCGACTTGTGATCCGGAAAATGCTGGCGAATACCGTCCATGATTAGCTTTTCCACAGCCCGATCGGTTTCTGTGACCAAATCAATATCACCGGACTTGCACACAAACTCCTGCCGCGTCTCATTGTTTCGCGCAATCAACTAAATGAAAACTCCTTAAATTATTTTCCAATCAAGCCGTAGCAAGAAACTTACCCGACCGGCCTCTGTTACCAGATTATTAATAATTTCAAAGCATTTGCCCAAGTCTACGCTGTCCGCCATTCTACGCCTGCTGTCTTACGTGTACTTCACGAATGAGTTTGTTTAATTAAATTATGTTTGCGCTTAGCGAATGTGAAAAGTTTTAAAATTCTTATAGCGAACAGCTGTTTTGCCAGGGCTGCCAAATGAGTGCAAAAAAATGTATCTTGGCAAATAATTGACCGGGATGCCAGATGATTGCGAAAAGAATGAATATTGGCAGGTAGAGACAATATTGAGGTTGTGGTGCGGCGAAACTCAACCTTCGATTATTCATTGAGTGTATTCAAATGTCACAAATATCTCCAGAAAATTTACAAAACCAAGCTAACTTAGTTAATGTCATTAATTGACAATTCAGTTGAGTGAAAACCCAACGGGTATTGATACAGGCCAACAGAAATGAAGCTGTGGTGCAGCGAAACTGACATCGAATGCAATCGATTCTTAATTCAAATGAAAACATGTAAAATTAACGTACTTTTCGTTCTGCAATATTTACTTGATAACATGAATTTTGGTGAAATAAATTATTGAGGATTTCGATTACTGAGCATTATGGTATGCTGTCGCCCTTGAACCATCTGATTCCAACTCATCACTTGACTCGGAAAAGTCTGTCTGTGCACTAAAATCCCTTGTGAGGGGCTGCGAAGCCAGTGACTCATCATCTCTTGGTATAGGATAATCCTGTACAATTTCAGCAGACAGTGCCAGTGCAAGTGGCCTGCTGGCAGCTCCTAGAACTCGACGTGACATAATATCAATAGAACCGCCAGCCGGATCAATTACCGTGCCGCCAGCCTCTGTGATCAAGATATTTCCAGCAACCATATCCCACACGTGAAGGCCAAAAAAGTAAAATGCATCTGAGGCACCAGAAGCGACCATTGCCATGCCCACGCCCGCAGACCCAATGGTTCGCAACCTTCAAGAAAATGCACACAAATCATTTTAAGATCGCTAAGCGTGGAATTTGGCAGTTCGACTTACGCTTGTGTCTTCTTGATAAGCCGCTTGGCATTCTCCATGGCTCCCGAGGTTCGGTATTCGCTCATATCCGAGTTGTACTCCTGAAGCACCAGTGCACTTTTGAGTTTATCCTGGCCACTGACTCGGATTGGCGTGTCATTGAGTTGAGTGCCTTCGCCATGCCGCGCCGCATAGAACTCGCCTAAGGCCGGATTAAATACAATGCCAAATGCGGTTTCTTTATTCATAATCAGCGCAAGTGTGATGCAATAGTAGGGGAAGCCATGCGCGTGGTTCATGACACCGTCAATTGGGTTGATGACCCACGTCAGCTCGTTGGTGAGTATCACTTTCTGGGATGTTGACCTAGCTACCACTCCCGCGCTGACGATCCTGTGTGGGAAAATGGGAGAACCGATGGAGGTAATTATGTAGAAATAAAAATCGTAATACTCCCTCTTACTTGTGCTCTGGATAATTATCTTTAATTCCTCTGGTTATCCTTTCCTCAATATCGCTGGATACCTGCGTGATGGTATTCGTTTCATTGTCCTTATTGCCACCCCCAGGCCGCGCCTTACTTGCCGACAAGGCAATGGGACCCGCCTTCCTGACCAACGAAACAGCCAATTCATACATTTCATCCATTTCCTGCTTAGACTTCTTCGGAGCTGCCGAGCCTGGTATTGGAGCTGGTGGTGGTGGTGATGCTGCTGCTGCTTGTGGTGGTGGGGATGGTGTGGATGGTGTATTCTCATAGAGCATGCCCGAAGTGTTTGTTGTCTTGGATGCATACTGTTTCGATGGATCGAAAGTAATATCCGTATTGACATTTTTCGTTACTCCTTCGGACTTTTCCTTGGGGCTTTTATACGCCACAGCTTGAACTGGGGGTGGATTGTAAACGGTGATCGTTTGAGGCGTCTCGTGAGCTGCTTCGACTCGAGAGGCTTCCTCTTGTAGTCGTGTTGGCGACATCTTTCCTACCGGCTCTTCGGCCGGTTTAACAGGCACGACTGGGACTGGATTCGTCACCACCGTCGACTTTTCCGGCGTGGGAATATTATAGACGGAGATTTGCTCAACTCGCTCCACATTATCTATTGGAAGCTTGTCGCGCGACGCTGATGAAAATCGATCCGCCCTTTGTGTGCTCGGGCTTGCAGAGACTACCTTTGGGGTTGGCGCTGGTTTTGGTGGTACCATCGACACACGCCTATGTTGGGAGCGTTGGTTCTTCAGCTCGTGCACCCGCGGATCCAGGGCGGTCGCCTCATGACCCTCGAGCCCATAGCTTGTGGCAGCATTCTCCGGCTTTTCCGCTACATTCTGTATGTTCTTCAATGGCCTGGATGAGTCATTCGGGTTGCTCTTCTTGTCATCGGCCATGGCAATGAATTGAATGACTGCTTCTGATCTACCAACTGCCTCTAAGGAGTTGCATGCTCGTCAACAAGTGCTCAGCCTGGCCCGTATTGCAGAACGTATTTATAAATGAATATGTCTACATAAATAATATAGATCCATATATGTTGGTGTATGTGTGAGAATGCCTAAGCAGAGCTGTCGAACTCAAACACAATTCACACTTTGATGTGTGACTCCACGCCACCTAAGGCTGATCATCTCGTTTATGATATATCTGGCTGTCGGCCAGCAGCTGGACCATCTGGCAGCCCAGCTCGGGCGTTGCAGTGGCCAGGACCCGCCTGGACATGATATCGAGCTCGCCTCCCGCGGGATCCATGACTGCGCCGCCTGCTTCGCGCACGAGCAGAGCGCCCGCTGCCACATCCCAGCAATGGGGCAAGAACTCGACGTAGGCATCGGCCGCGCCCATGGCCACCAGGCACAGATCCATGACAGCAGAGCCTGTGCTGCGTAGGCTGCGGGCGGAGATCTGTTGAGTGTGCAGTTGGAAGAGAGAGATTGATAGATTATTTACGTTTGTGCCCTGCAAAAAAGGTTGACAGTCATGGCCCAGAGCGTGTCCCTGTGGTCGTCGCCCATATTGGAGGCGTGCATCTCGTGCAGGACCAGCGAGCGCCGCAGCTCTCTCTGCCCGCTTGTGCGTATCTGGCGGCCATTCAAGTAGCAGCCGCGCTTCCGACGAGCTGTCAGCTTGAGCTGCAGTGTGGGGCAGTAGCAAATCGCGAGCTCTGGCTGCCTGTTCAGCCAGAAGGCCACGGAGATGCAGTTGTAGGGACAGCCATGCACAAAGTTCACGGTGCCATCGATGGGATCTATGATCCAGGTGGGCTGATTGGTCAGCTGGCGTCCCGTTGCGGGGCCGGAGGTGCCCTCCTCGCCAATGTAGACATGATCGGGAAACTGTCGCCTCAAGCCACACACCAGCAAATCCTCGATCTGACGATCGGTGACTGTGACCAGATCCTGATTGTTCGCTTTGGTTTTAAAGACGCGAATCTCTTTATTTGCCTCTTTCAGTAGCTAGCAGAAGGAGTTGCTTTATGCCAGCTGAACATACCTACATACATATATGTATATATATATCCCTAACTCCCCCTCTCCCTCTCCCACTTACCTCTGCTGCCTGATCGACCAGCGCACAGCTAGCTTCGGCACATTTGTCAACATCCACGTTCCAGTTTACCTTACCGCTGGCAGTCGAGCAACATTTGGCTGACCCGCTGCCCCGCCGCAACAGCTGTTGCCAAGCAAATCTCAACATGTTTTAGCAAAAGTCTGTATTGTGAAAAATTTTTAAAATAAAAACCGTTTACTGATTTAAATTAATATGCCTGCTACAAGTAGGAAAGTCGGCAAATCCATTTTCGGCCCCGTCATATCCGTGTCGTCAGAAGTGCTGACCTGGTAAACGTGGATCTGCTGCTGCCCATCTGTGTTTAGAAGTTTTCGGCGACTTCTCAGCACGTCTCTCATTCTTTTTTGCAGTACTTGGTTGGTCGGAATATGGATCACGACTCGTTACCTTGATAGAGCCCCTGCGCTCCACGATGTGGAGCTCAGGGTGCATCCGTTTGAGCAATGCTATAAGCTGATCAGTCCACCTCCTCATTGAATAGGACAGCAGCATATGTGCCTTGTGGTCCTGGTTCAGTAACAGAATTGCCGTGCCCACGTGCCACGCTTGGCAGCCAAGCTCATATAGGCCCGACTTAATCTCCCATGGCTTCTTACACCTGATCAAATATTTTCTGCCCAGCCTACGCAATCTAGTAATCGATGGGAATTGAATCATAGCCATGACTTTTACTGCTCTCTCGACTTACTCTTGGGCATTTTTCATCACCTCGTCGATAGATTCGAGTTCCTCGGCGCCTAAGTCCATCGTATTTTGTACATCTATGCCATTGCTTTGAGTGTTCGAGTTCGAAGCGACTTCATGGTGGAATAGATTTGCCAGCACTCCCAATGAATTGCCCCAGTCGCCTGGAAGCTGGTTACGAGTCGACCCAATGTTTGGAGTTGCTGCAGCCTTAAACAAATTCCCTTTTATTTCGCCTCTGAACCTGAGCATGAGCTTTCGATTAGCAGCATTCCATGGCCTCGGCATGAGCGTCTACTCACTTATTCAATGGATATGTCCTCGATATATTCTCAACCAGTCTGCGCTTCCGATCTGAACTCATCGACGCCAAGCTCGCGTGGCTGTGCATCGCCTTCAGACGCCATGTTCCCTGATTGAATGGCCTTTTCAGTGGTAAGCGGCATTTGTCAGATGCAATAGCATTGAGTTTGTTCATTAAGAGAGGAATATGGCTGGCAACGGTGGCAAGCAGACCACGGCTGCTGCCGATTGCCGTAACTCTCCTACTAATGCTCTGCATCTGCCTGTTTTAACACACTTCAAAATTTGAAATGAAAATTTGTATTCCAAGTGCCGAACTGATCCCAATCTGATCTGAAGCCTACTCATGCATACGTTTACATTTTCCAGTCTACTGCGTCTCATCGTCTCGGGGAGTGGGAAACAGTTGCTTTATCAGGGGCACGATTTGGTAGGCTAGCTCGGGCGTGGCCGCTGCCAGCATGCGACGTGCGTAGATGTCGAAGGGCCCGCCACAGGGATCGATGACAATGCCGCCCGCCTCCTGCACCATCGGCACGCCCGCAGCCCAATCCCAGACGTGTGAGCCGCAGTGGAGATAGGCGTCACAGGCTCCCACAGCCACCTGGGCCAGATTGAGCGCCGTGGAGCCCATGGTGCGTATGCTAAGGATGAGTCCAATTGGATCAACGGACTCGGACTCTGAAACACTCTCAATCTCCACTCACCCGTGCGCCGTGGGCCCCAGCCTAAAGATATTCTTCAAGCTCACGTTATCAACATCTTCGTGGGTCTTGATGGAGCACTCCATATAGACGAGAGAGTTCTTCAGCTCCCGCTGCCCGCTGACGCGCATCGGCTGCCCATTGAAGTGAACCCCCTTGCCGAGCTGTGAGACGTAGCTTTGCCTCAGCATGGGATTCTCTATCCAACCCAGAACGCTTTTCTTCTCCACATACAAAGCGATTGAGGTGCAGAAATTGGGAAAGCCGTGCACAAAGTTAGTTGTGCCATCGATTGGATCAATGATCCAGGTGGGCGCATCCGTGAGCACCCTGCTCTTGGCCGTGCCCTTTGTGCCCTCCTCGGCAATGATCTCGTGGTCGGGAAACACCTCTCTGATGCCTCTCACCAGCAAGCGCTCCACATCCCGATCGGACTTAGTGACCAGATCGCGCTCATGTGCCTTTGTCGTGTACTCGGGCTTCTGCTCTTGAGCCCGCATCATAATCTGCAGATCGGATGGATAACAATGACGTGGCATGGCCATTCCAGTGAGCTTCATACCTTGCCAGCTTCCTTGGCCAGCTCCGAGGCTAGTCTGCAAGCCACATCGACATCTACCTGAGAGAATTGCCTGCTAAAGCAAGGAACGAGCACAGTCCTTAGAAGGGCTTGCATCTTAACAATGGATCAATGGAGAATAGAGAGAACTTTGGCTAATTTAGATATTTGAGAATCAATTTTTAATATAGAAGTTCAAGTCCAGGCCCTCTTTCTGGCCAGCCGGGGGCGGGGACTTCAGTTCCGATTCTCACTGCGCAACTCTCTAAAGGACCTCGAGCGAGGTCTCTTGCTTACTTTGATTAGAGAACTCGAAATTGCATTGAAACACATTGAAACAATAAACTTTATTATACACAGATATGTATATATGATACGATAAATATATAAATATATATATTAAATATGTATGTACATCCATATATCAGGGTTAGATAATGTGAGTTCTTTTCGCATCGACACACGCTCTAAAGCTAATCAACTTTATACAATCGGAGAGGGCCGCTGCTGGGACGACCCTCCATTTAGATTAAGAAGCACTACGTTCCATTCAAATCTCTTTCGACTCTCTCGCCCAACGTTGATAACTATAAATAACAAATACTTACTACGGTCTGTTTGCCTGATTCTTCAGTTGCGATAGATAGCTCTGAGCATCGGGGCAAACGCGACTAACAATGGCATATATGTATGTCTGTCTGTATATATAAGTATATGCTATATAATTCAAATATTTTATATAAATTTTGAGTTGCAGCAGTTTCGTTCTATGATATGTTTTTGTTGCGGTTAGTCTTCTTTCGACCATATAGCGTAGACGATATTTATATGTAAATATGTATATCAAATAAATATATATAGGAATGCTGATAAGCTTTATGCAACACTGATATGTTTCGTTCCCAATCTTAAAAGCTAACAAACGTTTCGAACGTCTAGTAAATATCAACACAAATATATATCTAGTTATATGTATATATCTATGATCCGGACTTACGTGTTCCTTACTGAGCTAGGCTGGTGCTGTAAGCGACTGGAGATCGAACTCAACTTAAAATATATATAGATATAAAGAATAGTGTGAGAAACTACAAGACCAAATCAAAATTGTGTAATCGTGTGTTGTTTTTTGTTAATGGATATTACTGGAATCGTGTATATATTTTGTTATATCAATTCTACTAAAAATACATACATAATCAATATATAATTAAATTTGTATCACAACGAATTTAGCAAAAACTTAATCTAAGACTACAACAAAGAAACAAAAGAACTGGAAAAATGTGCGTGCTCAGTGTATAATATTAACTACAGAATATAAGGACACATACGATGTAGAATCAAGAATCCATATATATATATATATATATATATATATAGAAAATAACGAGTGCATTTCGCATTTGTATCCAAGCGCATGATGAACCATTACTTACGCACACAGCTTACGAACTAAGTGGAATCTGTAAGCCCGGCTTGCAGGGGGCGGGCGGGGGCCAACAGTTAAACGTTAAACATAGATAATAAGGGGGAGGAGATTTACAAGATTCATGTGGTTAGAAGCTGATCAACTGTTAGCCTATAGCTAAGTAAAGGTTTACAGGGCAGCAAGGTCATTCGATAAGCGAAGAGTAACTGCATCAATGGGTCCGTCTACTTGGCCTCCACGGGCCGATTGGCGAACAGCTGCTCCACAATCTGCTCGTCGGCCAGCGTCGACGTGTCGCCCACGTTGCGATCGTTGACGGCGATCTTGCGCAGCACACGGCGCATTATCTTGCCGGAGCGTGTCTTGGGCAAGCCTGGCGCATTTTGTATAACATCTGGCATGGCAAACGGTCCGATCCGGTCGCGTACCATCTTCTTCAGGTCAGCGATCAGTTTTTGGTCGAACGTCTCGTTTTCATTGGGCGTGATGAAGCAGTAGAGGCATTCGCCCTTCACCGGATGCGGGCGAGACACCACAGCCGACTCGGCAACACGCGGATGCTCCGTGAGCACAGACTCCACCTCGGCCGTGGACATCAGATGGCCAGAGACATTCAACATGTCGTCCACGCGACCAGTAATCCACAAGTAGCCATCGGCATCACGGCGAGCGCCTGCAAAAGGAGGATTAGTCAGCTATATATAGATGTGGATAGAGGGTACAGTCCAACGCACCGTCGCCAGTGCAATAGTAGCCTGGGAACTTGGAGAAGTAGGTGTCCTCGAAACGCTCGTGATTGTTGTACAGCGTGCGCATCATGCCCGGCCAGGGCTGCGAGAATACCAGGTAACCCTCGCCCTCGCCCTTGATCTCGATGCCGCACTCATCCAGCAGCGTCGGCTTGACGCCAAAGAACGGAAAAGACTGCAAAAATTAAATCGTATTACAAAATGGCCCATTGATTCACACCTATTGATTCGCTTACCGCAGAGCCTGGTTTCATGGGCGTGGCTCCAGGTAGGGGCGTTATGACATGTCCACCAGTTTCCGTCTGCCAGAATGTATCCACAATGGAGCACTGCTCCTTGCCAATGTAGCGATAGTACCAAAGCCATGCCTCTGGATTGATGGGCTCACCAACGCTGCCCAAGACCCTAAAGAGAGAGAGAGAGAGAGATAAAGAGAGGCGCATTAGCTTTAAAGTTGACTTTGATTAGCTAATTAGACCTACTTGAGTCCACTCAGATTGTGCTTGAGCACTGGCCCCTCGCCGAACTTCATGAGCGCGCGTATGGCCGTGGGCGCCGTATAGAACTGGGTGACCTTGTACTTGTCAATGACGCTCCAGTAGCGATCGTTGCCCGGGAAGAAGGGCGTGCCCTCGAACTGCAAGCAAGGCAGAAATCAAGTTAGTTAGTTGACTTAGCATTGGCGCGCTAATTGCAGTACTCACGATAACGGAGGTGGCGCCATTGGCCAGCGGTCCGTAGACCACGTAGGTGTGTCCAGTGATCCAGCCCACGTCGGCGGTGCACCAGTAGATGTCGCCGGGCTTGTAGTCGAAGACGATCTTGAACGTGGTGGCCGCATAGAGCAGATAGCCAGCCGTGGTATGGAGCACGCCCTTGGGCTTGCCCGTGGAGCCGCTCGTGTAGAGCATGAACAAGGGATCCTCGGCGTCCATCCACTCTGGATAGCAGGCGGGCTCCTTATCCTCCATCTCCTCGTGCCACCAGTAGTCGCGATCATCGGTCCAGGGTATGTCCTGGTCCACATGATTGTCCTGGCAGGGCGTCACGCGCTTCAGATGCGACACCACAATGCACTTCTCCACGGAGTGGCCCATCTCCTCCACCTTCTCCAACGCCGTATCGCACAAAGCCTTCAGGTAGAGCGGCTTCTCGCCACGCCAAGCCCCATCGGCCGTGATCAGCAGCTTGGCCTTGCAATCGAACATGCGTTCCGCCAAGGAATCCGACGAGAATCCGGCAAACACGATCGAGTGCACGGCGCCGATGCGAGCACAAGCCAACATCGCAATGGGCAGCTCCAGGATCATGGGCATATAAATGGAGACGCGATCACCCTTCTGAATGCCATGATCCTTCAGCACATTGGCGAAGCGGCAGACCTCCTCCAGCAGCTTGCGGTAGGTGAGGCCGCGCGAATAGTCATCCGGGTGATTGCCCTCCCTGCAAGAAAATGAGAAATAAATGCGGAAATTAATAATACATGCATATATCCATTTTGGCAATCTGCCCAGCCAGAAGAGAAAGCGAGAAAGAGAGAGAGATATAGCTGCCTGTCTAGAGCTAAGTGGATACCTATTTAAACACCCACGCAGCACCTCAATTGGATCACTTACTGCAATTTGATGCTTCCTAATTGTCGCTAGCTATTTCATTTGAATTTGCAACATAATTTGATGATTTGATAAGCTGCCTGCCCCCCAGTTGCTAGTCGAGCTGCGCCTTTTCCTTTTCTTATTTCTTTGATTCTCGACTTGGCAACAAAAGCCAATAACCGACCACAAAAAGAGACAGCTGCATAGCCTACTTATACACTGCATGTCTATATATATATATGTATGTATGTATGTGTGTATCGTGTGCACATAATATTCAACAGTTTGCAATTTAAGTATACCTACGGCACTAAAATCTTGACTGCATATGCGATTATAAATAATTATGAATTGGTGATATCTAGAACAAAAGAACAAAACTAAGCATATTCCCAAAAGAGAATATGACTAACAGATATTTCCCATTTTTCTGCGAAACAAATTTTCATTTATGAAAATAATAAAAGGGAAAAAAATACCAGTCATAGGATAATTTCGCAATGTTTATTAATATTGAACTTATCTAAATTTATCTTTTACCAACCCTCAGAATTAACTATCCAGTGATCATTGGATAGATCATAGATTTGTAAAATACTTTAATACTTTAATTTTTAAAAGTTTTCTTTAATAGAGACTACAAAATATAAATAAGTTTGATTCTAAACATACTTCTAGCCCGAAACCTGTTGTTAATTAATATACTTTTAGAGCACACTGTTGTCTATTCAATTGTCTGGGTAGAATTAATTGTACCCAAATACAAAATGCATAAATTTAACAACAGAACGCAATGCACAATCGATTATAAAATCGTGACGTATATATGTATGTATGTACCTACATATATCCACATTATTGTAAAATTGCTCAAGGCCATCGGCAATAGGGAAAGTTACTCGAGCCTCTACGGTTGCGGGTCTTGGTCTAGGTCAACTGTCATAGTGCTAGACGTCGCGACGTGCAGTATAGCACAAAGCCCAAACGAAATAACCGTTTAAATGACTCAAATATGATACAAAAGCTGTAAATTAATGACTAAATATTAGCAATGGAGGTGGGGGGGGTGGTATCCCATCGCTTTGTCATATCGAACGATAACAGTCAGATGCCGTTCAGGAAATAAATAAGTTAGTCGATCGCAATCATGACGTATAAAATGCTATTTTCGCACAGCTATCATCGGCAGTCCGGTACAAAGTACACTTTTTTTTCGTATATACTATGAGTTGGCCTATATGTGTATGTATGTATGTGAAGGCCCGATAGCGGCTACTATAACCTAGCGAAATAATTTTCAACGCATGTGAAATGGTATTTAATTAGTAAGATGTTAAAAATATATCACAAACAAAAACAAAATCTGCTTGATTAGCTGAGAGCAGCAACAACAACAGCTTTATGATTAATAACAGCGACTGTTAAAGCTAACAGCTAACAGTTAACAGCGCTGTTAAGGTAGCCTGTGCTTAAATCAAGGCCAAGCTTTCTCCCTCTCCCTTATGCTAACACACTGTGCAGTTTAGCAAGCACTGCTCACACTACTTCGACCCTTGTCAAACTGCTGTGAGCATTCTCTGCAAATGACTAATTATGAGTGTTAGCCCGTCGGTCTATGGCGCGATATTTTCAATGTTTGCGCCGAAGTGCTTTCCATTTTTCATAAGCAACTGTTGCGTTCGCTCCCCTTGTCGCTAGACTATCTTCCAGCTAATCAATTACTAGCTAGTCATGCATGTTGCCTGGAAACCAATTGAAAGACGGCAACAGCTCACGATCTTGACCGCTGTCGGGGCCACTCATTGGCAGCAGACAGACGCGTGGCCCACCTCGCTTATCGCAAATTCAAAATTTAAAAAAAAAACTCGCATATTTTGTATTGGGAAGAATCGCATGCAGGCAAGCAGAATCATGTGAGGAGCTGCGGCAGCCGGCAGCCTGCAACAACAACAACAACAACATTAAAAGTAATCTTAGCGTAAGCAGCTGTTGATTCGCGTGTCGGAAATCTAAACAACAACAAAACACTAAAGAGGCATTAAACAAATCGTATCGAATGTTTTCATTTGTTGTTGGCGTGAAGAATTTCAAGTTAGTTTTTGCTTTTTAGTTGGCTTTTTAGCTTGAATTCTATTCTGTTTTGCTTGTGAATGAACGTTTAGCCGGTCTGCCCTACAGTTTGGGAGTCACATCGTATGATTTTTGACAAACCAACTTGGTTATCAGATGCTAAATTATGCAAACGGTTTTTAATGTCCAAGCATTTTGTTTATATGATAAGAGCGTAGAGCTGGTCGAGTGTGGAGAGTTAAATTTTGGAGTGAAGAGTACACAGAAGAGGGTTTTCTACTATAAATGGGGGCACATCAACAATTTGATACCAATTACAAATGCGCACTGTTGCGAAAAGTGATAACAAAACGTGGGCGAAAGGGGACAAAAGCAAACAAACACACCTACATACATACATACATTTGTATGTGTGTTGATTGCCCAATTAATGTTGTTGCTGTTGCCCTTTCGCTTGCGCTTTAGTTTATGTCAGCACTAACACAACATTTTCGTTTCTTTTACACACGCACGCACTCACACACGCGCACTTTTTAGCCGGTTTAGCGCATGTGTGAATGCCTACGAATTCTCTCTATGTGATTGTGATTGGCTGTGAGTAATCGGACGATGTGATCGCGTGATTTTTGTGGGCCGCTCAGTGCTGCCAAAACTGTGAGTAGGAAGCTCTCTGACCTGCAGTACGGAGGCTGCGCTTTGAAATTCGCCCGGTATCTTTAAACTTTTGACACTGGCATCGTTTCTCGCTCTTCGTCTACCTCCTCCTTCTGCGTGTCGACAACTTGTCCATTGCCAGACGTTGTGACACACATTAAGGCGCGAAATATTTGATGTGAGTAGATTCGATTTTGTATTGTTTTGTTACGTTCGCATCGAATTTAATTTGAATAAACAATTTGAGCGCCTTGTGCTAATCGCCCGCTTATATAAAACTGACAATACCAATGGCAA